TTGTAAATTTTTTAGCGTGCGCAGTGAAATAGCTCACGTTTTTATACACGCAAAACTTTGATAGATCCGGCCCTAAGTGTCTAAAAGGTTGGTCGTGAAAGGGGATTATTGGACCGGCTGGATAGCCGAGGTCCTACACTCTCTTTGCAGGGGGTGGGGCTGCGATGATAACGCAGTACACAGACTGTACACAGAAGGCCTTTGCTGGATATAATAAGTTACAAGGAGATAATTTAGACTTAATTTGAAAAAGCCAAACAGAAATGTCCATTGAATCAACATGAGCAGCATTTTTAATTAAATGTTAAAGAAGTGGGGATGCTATCAAAGAAAAGGTGAGATTACGGGATGGGATTAACTCAATAGCAGCATTGTACGTTTTTCGAGTGGAGTGGAGGACCTTGTCTATTCAGCCAGTCAGACAATCCCCTTTAACGACCAACCTTTCAGAAACTTAGGCTAAGTTCACACTGCAGCCTGAAGTGACCCAAATCCGATTTTTGGGCCCATATCCAACCTGGATCTGATCTTTTCATGACAGTTTGAACAACACAGATCCGATTTTTTCCAATCCGACCTAGGCCACTTGGCTGTGTGGTCCTGAATCCGATACGAATCTGATCTTTTAAAATGCGTCCTGTGTCTGAATGGCCAGGTCGCATTCATCCGACCTGAACGCCATTAATATTCGACAAAGGTCAATATTCTGCGTCTTGCTATGCAGAAGCGGCAAGAAAAATAACAACAGTGGCGGACAATGATGTGAAGAGCAGTATTTTTGTTTAACCATATTGAAAAGAATGAGTTTTTAAGGTTGGAAAAGATTTGCACCGGCACTACTATCCATGTTGTATGACTGCAGTTTACAGTGGAGATCACATAGATGTCGCATAAATTTGGAAATATGAACGGCGATGCAAAAAAAAAAAAATAGGATTTCTCAAAAAAATCGGAATTGAGCATCAAGGACTGCAGTGTGAATGTAGCCTTAGATGGGTATGGGGTATTGCAGTCTAACAAAAGAAGCCATACAACCCCCATTCCAAATTGGTGGACCCTTTCGTCTGTTCCTATTTGCATGTTTTCAGAGCAAAAACAAGCCTTTGTTGGGAAGTGAAACGCCTTCAAAATCCAGGATCCAAGTCCAGTTGCTTTTTTTTTTTTTTTGGAAATCCTACTCAGAAGCAAACTTCACATTGATTTTTACCTTTGTGTCCTGATCCTCTCTAGGACCTTGAAGAACTGTTTGGGCAAGTGATGCCAGAAACTGCTGAGCTGCACCTACTTCACTAAACTGCTCATTCTGGAATAGCAAAAAGGAAAAACAATAGAAATTGGATGATATGTAAAAGATGAACAAATTGAAGTAATTCTACCTGACCTTGTAATTTATAGCTTTGGTTTGCCATTCTGCATCAGGAAGAAAATACATATACAAGACTTACATATTTACATTTGCTTCCCGTTCACAGCTGCAAAGGACGGAAGAAAAAAAATACTCATTAGTTATTACAGGCACCTAGCTTAAGATAAATGACGCAAATTAATTTGTTCCCCATTAGAAACAGCCTTTTCAAGACAGTTTACTTTCTATTTTTGGCATCACTGCTAGAATGAACAAAGGTTCATAACCAGGGTTCTCTGGTTTTCATACAGAGTCTATGGTAGAAGTGCATTTCAAGGGGTTGAGAGTTCCTATAGCATTCAGCATTTCATATGAGCTTTAAGATTTCAAACCTCTCATGCAAGTACAGTGTGTCTAATAGGCAAACTCAAGAGTTATAATGCAGGGCATCAACCAGTCATAAGAACTTAGCTTTGTAATGTAGTAATGTAAAAAGCGACCCTCTTCTAGTAGCATTGAAGCTCCTTGGGGAAATGGTGAAGTTCATCAAAATTGGAAGAGCTCTGAATTAGTTTGTAAATTTGGATAATAATATTGCTTTATTAGGCAAACAAGTTAAGCAGCTCTCTCCATTTTGCATTGGCCATTGTACAAAAGAGACTTCTTTGAACTGTAAAAAGGGCTGGTTATACTCCCGCAGCAGTGTGTCGCAGTGAGCTTGTTGCAGGTATGACACAGACATTTTTTTATTTATGCTCAATTTTGAAGCGTGGTATGATTCCACACAGAAGACCTTTGCTGGATATAATAAGTTACAAGGAGATAATTTAGCCTTAATTTGAAAAAGTCAAACAGAAATGTCTATTGAGTCAACTTGAGCAGCATTTTTAATTAAATGTTAAAGATGTGGGGATGCTATCAAAGAAAAGGTGAGATTACAGCTATTGTCCTGCCAATAACAAAAACAATTATACATTCACACTGGCTTTGACATAATGCAGTGTGACTTGTTAATGTATTCAACAAGTTTTTTTTGTCAAGTTATAAAAACAAACCTTGTTGTATTTTATGAGTAATGTGTTGTTGCCATTAGAACATTATATAGATAATAAATGTTATCCTGTTTTAAATACGACTGTTTTTGGAGGATATGAGATGATTTTTTTAAGAGCACTTGTAAGTAAACAGCATAAAGACCAAAGTACAAAGCAGACATCTCAGGGATAAGGTTGTGGAGAAGTTTAGAACAGGACTATGTTATTAGGCAATATCCGAAGATTTTTAACCTTTTAAATCAACTCATATATTTGTGAAGCTTTTATATTTGGGAACTTTGAATTTAAGTATCATGTTTTTATTTGACAAAAGTGAAGGAGGTGCAGCTAATACATATCTTATTTAAGTAAACAAAAGTTTGAACAGTGTTTTTTCCAGTAAAACTGAAAAGATGTCATGCAAAAAGCCAAGGCAGTGTGGGTCTTAATGTCTGAACTCATTTAGGGATAAGACACGTAATCTCACCTTTTCTTTGATAGCAACATAAATAAAACGTATTTAGTGGATTAAACTGAGTTTCTTTTTGAAACTGATTTATTTATTTATGGGCAATGGACAAAGTCTTGCAAGAAAACCTCCAGGAGCATCCTGCTTCCTGTAAATTTTTATACCATTAAATCAGTCTTTGAAGTACACTATAAATTTACAAACAGCTTATATTCATGAGTAGAATCTTGGTTTTAATAAAGAGGTGCATGTTTTTTATATATCACTCTTGCAACCAACATATCTGTAGGCCATCTGAAGTCAGTTCTTATTTCAAATGGAAAGAATTCAACGAATATGCAGATATGATGCTACAGGTATGGCTCTTTTTAAGAATAGGTCGTTTCTTTGTAAAACTAATACCTTCTATGTGGTTCTACTCTGTTTTCACCTCAGTAAAGCTAGGCAAGTAAAAAGGCCACAGAAAATCCTGCAGAGAGTATGTTTTCCCACTATTAAAAAGTTAGGACAAAAATTCACAATATTTAATTTATGTCTTTCATGTACACACTCTAGTAGCCAAGAACTAATAAACAAGCATAAAAAGGCATAAATATTTTGGAAAATGTTTGCAACTGAGAGAGATAATAAATAGAACCCTGTACACTCATATATTTTTTCACTGGTTATGATGAGTTCTGTGATTACTGACTAGATTTCAAGAACTCTCACAGCAATGTACACAACAAAAAAGAAGTAATAGTGAAGTATTCAATAAAACTCCTTTATGTCGTCATCATCTGGATTTTCTTACAAGTGAACTTTGTTCTTGTAGACAAGAGGGGAGTGGCTTGATGCCTGAAACAGGTTTATGTCTGTTTAGGAGCTAGTTTCAAGCTAGACCATTTACATGTTGAAACAGGAATCCACACCCTCCCACTTTAGACTGCTTATCTTGTACAGATACCTCCTTGTCTTTTGTTTTTCCCAGACAGCTCTCAGAACCGGCCAGAACACTGAACAACTAAATGGAAGTGGGATATTTTACAAGCATTCGGGAGGATTTTCACAAAGGTCACTATCAAAATGTAAGTCACTGCTTAGCATAATATTCTACTTTCTCACTATAATTTCATTTTGTTTTAAGAGTCTTGCAGAATTTTTTAGCAGTTCAGCAAGGTTAGTGTGTGAACTGTAAGGGTCTGAAATAAAATGCATGACTATATGATCTGTCTTCAGTTTTTGTAATAAACCTATGCTTATGATTCATCATTCTGCAACAACTTGTGTATTTTTTTTTAACTTACAATTCTCCTTGGAGGGTGCACATAGGAAATTATTTTTCACCTCATGAGCTCTGCTTTTGTAGCAAAAAATATTACAATGGCATAAAACAAAATACTTGATGAAAAGTTCAAAATACGCTGCCAAAGAGTCAAAACTTATTATTTATTACATTTGTGGATTTAAAACTATTTGTAAAAAAAAAAAAAATAAATTATCAAGAAAATCGTACACTGACAATTTAAAAGAATGATAAAGAGAAACTGAAATTTACACTTTCTGTATTTGTTTTAAATAAAACGTTATTTACCATTAAAGGACAACTGTTGAACATGTTGAAAAAATAAAGGAGTCCCAAGAAATGTGCAATTTTAAATGGGATATATAGCGGGTTTTTATCAGTTGTGGCCACTAAATCAATCAGGCTGTCAGGTGCTCAAAATGTAGTGGTAGCTGCAATAATAAAGCGCTAAACTGTTCTAATGATTGGATCTTACTGAATCTTTCATACACAAAACAACTACTGCTAGAAGACTGATTCATTTTTTTTTTTTTTATAGCTAAAACAAATTCAATACAAAGAAATAAATAGTTATTAGTTTGCATAGCTAGTAGTAGCTGGCTTGTTGTGGAGCGCAGAAGTTCTTATATCCTACAGGATTTTTTGAATTGTTACTGTAATCTCTGAAACATGGTTAAAATGGATTTGAAGTTATTCCCTGATTGGTGGTCATACATAAAACATAAGGAGCCGAAACAGTTTCTGTTTGAAGCAAGGAATATGCAAGTGATTGCTAATAAACTGTTTGGGTCCAAAGGTGAATGAATTTTTGTTCCTTTATATTTTCTCTTCTTCTCCTCTGGTTTCTGTTCTTTTTCATTTGTCTGCTATTCAAGAGTGTTTAATTGCTGTAAAGGGATGCTATTAGAAAAACACAAAACATCATCGTTTCAGTATCTAACTTTTAATATCTGTTGATATTTTGAGAGCACTGTGATCAATTTGATTTATCTGTGTTTAGAACTGTTTTCTACAATAAAAAGGCTTACATAGGTTCATTTTATTTTGCTGTGACATAGCATTTAAAAATTAAAAGCAATACCTTGTCTGTTTACTGTATTTTATTTTGTAAATTTTGTTATTATCAGAGCTTTATAGAAAGCTGACATCCTTAACCTTGTCTCATGGCTTGTAACTTAATCCTCTGACATGACTGTATGTTTCAATTACCTTGATCAGGTCCTAAAGCAACAGCCAGAGGAGATGGACTACCCTGAGTTTTCCCTGCTATCATCCCTGAGAGCCGAGTTTAAGCATGAGGATTTTGTTCAGCCTCACTATAAAGAGACATATCGGCTGGCAGTTGATTGTCTGGTTAAAGATGGCAGAGATAGTTACGATGAGTTTCTCAAAGGAGAACATGTTGGAAACTTCCTCTCAGAAGATGAGATTCTCTTCATCACATCTAATGCAAAACAGCTGCTATCCGAAAATAAGACAGAAGAGGTCATTGGCCCACCAGACAACCAGTCGTCCTCTGGGACATACTGGCCTACCGAGTCGGATGTGGAAACACCGAATTTGGATTTGGGTTGGCCAGAGGTCTTGCATAAAAGAAGCCCAACAAATATCAATCTGCTCCATCATCCGCCAAGACTCAACAACCCAACTATAAAAGAGGTGATACGGAAAAATATTCAGGATGCAAAACAGGTAATTAATAATGTTGGCAAAAGCAGTATGTTTATATAAGGATTCTAAACGGCCTCTCAAAACTAAGTTATTAGACCTTCTGCTCTGTCTGTGCTTTTGTTAATATATAAAGGGCTTTCTAAAAGAAAATTACATTTCTCCGTCTGTCTTATTGAAGATTTCAAAATGTTTTGTAAGAATAAGTATGGAGCAAGAGTGAAATTAGATGTACCATGACCTGAGGTTATACACAAGCATAGCATCTTGATTGGCGTCATCAGCCTGGTTTCTATTTTAAAATGTTTTCTTAGTATCTAGTTTGATCATTAATGGTTGGAGTGTATATGTTGATTTTTAATCCATTGTAAATATACTGTACTTTATTTAAAGACCAATTTCACACATTCTCTCCTGACTTCTGTACAGGAATACCCAGCAACAGATCTGCTATTTCACTGGACTATTTCCATATTGGTGACGCATTTACTTGTCCATTTTTATTAGAATTGAATAAGTAAACAAAGCAAAGTAAATTATTAATGCCTGCACTAATCAAGCAATGACTGCATTTTAATGCAGTCTCAGGCTTGATTCGAACCTTTTAAAAAAGGAATAAAACACTATATAACTTTTTGTAAAATATCCAAATTAGCATAGCTTGAGCCTTAATGTATAAGCTAAAAGTGAGTATATAGCACTGAATTAAAATGTGCGCTGTCAATTGTTTTTTCTTTCTTTTACTTTTTTCATATATAAGGCGCAGGTCAAGTTCTTGCTTCCTCCACTTCTGTATCATTGATTTATTAATGTTAAATTCTCTCGCAGCTGCTATATTCCCATGTTCTACTGTATGACTGAGTTTGAAGTCCGTATCACACACTGTAATATTACACACTGTAACAGTATGTGTTACTCTGCAATGCTCCTGACTACGGTAGCCATCAAGCTGAAAGCGCTGTGGTTTCGTGGTTTCCCAAAGTCATACTAAACAAATTTGTGTATCACGCAAAATTGCTTCGAGGTCAGTAAGCACAACCAGAAATAATGTATTTATAAAGCACTCTGAATTAAAAGGTGCACTGTTGTGTTTTGAGAAAATTAAAGACTTTTAGAGGTGTTGTAGGAGATCTTGCAAAAACGGTTCCAGCAAACTATATTTTTGAACACAACCATGCGTCTCCCTTCAGACCACCCCTCGAAACCACGCCTTCAAAAACATCAATGTGCATGCTGACTGTCGAGGTGTTCAGATTATTCCGAGATCGAGAAAGAAACAAGCCGAGACTGAGTGCTTTTGACACAAGCTAACAACAACATAAGGTTACGTTCACACCTAAAGCAGCAGAGGCAGCAAAGGCAGCTAGTTTACATGCAAAGTCAATGGTTGACGTGCATCACGGTACAGCAAAAGGTCCCGCAGCGCATCTAAAGCAGGAAGAGCAGCGCATCTGAGCAGCTGAAGCAGTGCATCGCTGATCTGGGAGCTGGCAGGGAGACAGACACAGCACTGAAGATGCAGAACGCTATGATCAGTCCCCTGAAACAGTTTATTATCTTCTAAATTAACTTAAAATGCCAAAATCTGCTGGAAAAACATGTTCGCTTTTATTATCCTGGTGCCTGCAGTTTGGATTACCTACATGAAAAACACCTTCGAGCCGCTGCGGCAAACTGCGAAGAGGTGATCTGGCCATAGGCTGCTGTTAACTGAGATTGCTAGTAACAGTACACCGCCGGTGTATGGGGGTCTAAGTGGCTCCAACAGAAATAATTTTTGAAGGCAGGATGGTAATCTGGATGAACTGACTGCACTGACGATGTCTTCCGGTGGACTTTCTCACTTCAAAATAGATTCAAACTACTTTTTACCAACTGATCACAGCAAGTATCGCTGCCATTGTTACAGGAAAAGAAAGGATAGGGTAGCTCCACCCAACGTCTATCAGACTCACTTTTTACACGGCGCAGCCAGAGCAGCAGAGATGCTGCTGAGATAGTATAACAGTGGCTAGCTTCCAGCCGTGGCGTACTGCATTAGCATTGGGTGGTTAATTCGTCCAAGTGTCAGGGTACGCACACAGGGGGGAGGGAGAAGCAGGTGACCATGATTGACGTGTCAAGAACCAATCGTGTACAACGGACTGTGTTTTGTGGTTGGTGGACGTTGCTCATTGATTACACACTGTAGCAGTGACCCTTTATTTTAGTTTCACTTCCAGACCTTCTTTTTTACTGATTGCTACGCAACTGTGGGAAGATCTTCAAGCCACATGGTAAAAAATGCGTCCGAAAAGATCTCCTACTGCTCCTTTAAGTGTGACTTATACAGCGGAAAATATGGTATTGTCTGTTTTAAAGATCATCCAAAGTGTGTTGCAAGCTGTTTTCCCCTCTAGGCAGCTCCACAGAATTGTTCTTCACCTTATTTCAGAGTAAAGGAGTGTCTGCAGGGATGTCATTACATAAAATCAGGTTCTGCAACTTAGTTTCTTAAAGACAAACAGAGAAAAGAACTTTCCTCAAATACCATGAAGGCCCATTTTCCATCATTACACTTAGTCAGAGGACCTAATACTTTGATTCATTCACCCAAAACCTTTGTAGAAAACAAGTGGTATTATGAAGATCTATTATTTAAACTATGACTTCTGCGTTAAAATACACAAAATATAGCATAGATCAAAGAGCTTAAATACACTCTGTCTTTTGCTGTTGTTTGTGCAACCTACGGTAAATAAAATGTCAAGTATAAAAAAAATAAATTAAAATGCTTAATTTTTTCAATAATGCTTAATATGTGGAAAAATATAAATTTTTCCTTATGGTCTGTGAGAGGCACTTATATTATTGGATAAATAAATGGAAAATATGCTTAGTTTGACCAGTTTTATAGTATTTTCATGCTTTTATTTAGCAAGAAAACTTGTTTAACAGATTGCACTGAAAAAAAATAGAGCCATGATATCAATAAATACTCTCAATATTAATATACTTATTAATACAATTATGAATACAGTTAATTATTAAAATTATATTTTAACATACATTGACTGATGTTGCAGATTATTTGCTAGTTTATGTGTTTATTTTTGAAGAAAAATACAACAAAATAGTTGTATTTTATGCTTTTTTTTAAAGGGCAAGACACACACATCTGTTGTGCACATTCTTTAAAGTCTTTCTGAGGCTTTTATTTTGTTTATTTTAATATTAAAATCATATGGTATTGACAATATATTTAAGAATATATTGTGATATAATTGTTGCTCTATTGTCCAGCCAACTTTTTGGTTATTCTGCTCTCTCTTTCTCTTTAAAGGTAATTGCTATTGTGATGGACAAGTTCACAGATGTTGATATATTCAAAGAGGCTGTGGATGCTTCCATAAGAGGTGTGCCAGTTTATGTGCTTTTGGATGAATATCATGTTAAAAGTTTCCTCAAGATGGCTGATGATCAAGATATCAAAATAAAACAACTCAGGGTGAGTACCTCAAAAACAAATTATTGTTTTGCTAGTATGATAAAACATTGTATTTATTATCATCATAATCACTGTTGTAATTATTATTAATATGGTTAATATTACTATCATAATTTAATTATAAATCATGTAGTTAACAGAAAATGAATGTCAAAGTATATACAGCTGAATCTGCCTCTAACCACAATGTATTTACAAGAATACATACAAAATCCTACACCCTGTCTGTTTAGGTGTCTTATTTACAAACAAAATAGCTCTAAAAGTGAACTCACTGACTAAGACATTTAAGTTTAACAATGGACCAAATTTCATCATAAACATCAGAGTATTTTAAAAACGGATGTCATTAAACAGTCCTGGTCTAATCCGTTATTGAAGGTTGTATAGTCAAATAGCTTTATAGCATAGCAAAAAGGGTGGATATTGCATTTACCTACTCTTCTCTGACTTTTTGGGTTTGTGCATTCACTCCAATCTGTGTGTTTTGACAGCAAAAATATTTAATACAAAGAGTGGGTCACGCTGAACACACTCCTTATAGTTTTGCAAAAATTTCTTTTTTTAAACACACAAAAACACACACTCATTTCCATGTTTTATGGGGACTTGCCATTGACTTCCATTTATTTGTATAGCCTAACCTAGCTCCTTACCCTACCCACTGCCATTATATACTAAATCCTAACCTATACTAATTCCACACCTTAGACGTAACCCAAAACCCAAAGGTAAAACTTTTCCATATGTGGACGAGTTTAGTGGTCTCCACTAACACCTATATTTCCCAAAATGCAGCTTATTTACAATAGCTTGGGAAAGGGTAACCATATTCTTAAAGAAAGTTTTATAAACCCTCATAATTATTATAATCTTAAAAGGAACTAACCTAAAAGAAAGGTGAAAGAAAGTTCATTCTTTGAAAATATCTTTTGCTTTTCCTAAGATTTATATCAATTTTCTCAAATCTAGGCAGGAATTTGTTTAAATTCAGTTTAATAAAAAATTACTGATTCCAAAGGAAAATTAAGTATTGTGGTGACTCATAAGTTTTTATTTTAAGGAGTTGTAGATGTCGATAACTATAGGCAGGAAGGATCTTCTATAGCGATCTCTCTTGCACTGGATCTGGAGACGCCTCTTACTGAAGACACCATCCCATTTAACAATCTAATGAGGAGGATGCTCACTGTTGCCAATAATATTCTTCACTTTGGGAAGAATTTTTTTTATTTGAAATCACCCTTAGATATGTCTTAAATCTGGAAAATTCATAATCATCCAAAAAAAAATCATTGAACAATACCTTATTTATTGGAACAGAATTTTAAGGATGCTTACAGTGTTAAAATTGAATTGGTGAGGTCTTTGTCATATATCAAACTCTTATAGTTCTATGCTTGGTGGCTGCAAAAACTGGATACTTTTCAGTGAGTCCTCTGTCTTTTGCAGTATATTAAGATAGTTGATTATTTGTAGGAAAATGTACTATATTTTATTTTGGGTGGAGTCAGCTATTGGCAAGTCATTTAAAAGTTTTGAACACACCCGGAAAATTTTCCTTTAAGAGCATATTAACTGCCAACAACAACAGGAATCCTATGACTCAACAAACTGACAGCAACATATTTCCTGCTTCTGTGAATTATTGTTTGTTGCTTACTGCTGTAGTTTTAACAAGGACAATATCCTTTCACTTATCTTGTAACAGAACATGAGGGTGCGCACAGTGAAAGGACAAGGCTACCTCTGTCGATCAGGTGCCAAATTTCATGGAGCAATGGAGCAGAAATTTCTTTTAGTCGATTGCCACACGGCAATTTATGGCTCATACAGGTAAATATTGTCACTGAATCCCTGAGGGAGTAGCAATTCTAGATCTCTGTGGTGCTTACTGGTCATACAAATGCTTTTAGTGTCAGTGTTAAAATATTGCAGAAATGATGTCTCACTAATGTATTGCATTACACATGTGGAGAAAATGGTTGGTACATCTCATCTAATGAAAGAAAAACCCACAATGGTCAGAGAAGAAACTTGAATCTGACAAAAGCAAAAACAAATAAAAGATCTGTGAAACTGAATAAATGATAATATGACATTGATTTTTAACCATGCTTCAACAAAATAGTTAAAAAGATTAACTCATCAAAAAGGCCTGGAAAGTCTCAAAAAGACTTAAACCGACTGTGACCAAAGGGAATTGTTAAATCAAGGTATGTCCACTAATTTGCATCACAGGTGTCTACAATTTTGTAATCAATCAATGGGCCTGAATATAGGACTACAGGTAGTAAATGTGCTGTTTGGTGGCATGGTGTGTACCACACTCAACATGGACCAGAGGAAGCGAAGGAAAGAAATGTCTCTGAACATTAGAAAGAAATGTATAGACAAGCATGTTCCATCAATCGTCTGACCATCTCTCCTGCTTCCTTTTCTATCGTACTTCACCTGGGTTTTCCAGTACTTCATGTTTTAACCTTCTGTTGTTGTGTTGGCAAAATGAAAACCACACTGCTTTAACCATGAAAGGGATGTTTATTACATATGCTATTGACTAATCAGGCTATACTAAAGACCGCCTAAAGGACATGAGGGAATATTGGTTATCAATCTGATTTCTGTTTCTGTTTGTGGATGGAGTGCATTTGACAGATTGATAACTTTTCCTTATTGGTATTGTGTTCAAAGCTGAAAATAAGGTGAAGTCTAAGAATTTGATGTGAATTTGAAAATCTGTGATTGGCTAATTGACTCTGACAGCTTCTCCAAAACTGCCGCTCTGTCAAGGTGTTCCCTTTCTGATCCTATTAACACTGAACCGTCCAACACTGTAATCACCACCAAACCTTCATCCCTGCTCTATTAAGGAAAATAATGATTTACATATAAAACATTTAACCTGGCCTTTAAAGGGTTTCAGTTATGAAAGGGATTAAATGTAGGGTAGTTTTTATGAAGCCTTAAGGGCAATGGCTAAAAGACCATGTCCAAGGAGCTTGATGTACCTGTGACTACAGTTCGACATATTTTCCAGAAATGTAAGATCCATGGGACAGTAGCCAACCTACCTGGACGTTGTTACAGGAGAAAAAAATGGATGACAAATCAAACAGACGGAATAGAAGAATTATGACAAATGAGCACAGAAAAACGTTTGTAGTGAATAAATGTGAAATTCAAGAACTCAAAGAACATCAGGACCAGATCATTGCCAGATCAGTGCCCTTCGTTGTTATTTGAGCCAAAGTGGAGGTGATGGGAGATGACCAAGGAGGACAGCATTGTTACAAGCCATAAAGAGGGCCAGACTAGAATTTGCCAAAACTACATCTTCACAAGGAACAAAACTTCAGAGAGAATACACTCTTAACTATTGTTTGTAGAGGAAAACAATAAACTTTTCTGAAATAACTCTCTATGAGCCCTGACCTAAATCCTATTGAGCATCTTTCGAAGAAGCTGAAACTGTCATGAATCGCGGACAGATGGACCCAGTATTCAGGAGAGACAGTCAGTAGGAAAGTTCAAAAGATTAAAATAAAAACAAAAGCGGAGCTGTGGCTCGCGGACACTGCAGGCGAGGGGGCGGGGCACCGCCCGATCTCAGACACTCTAGGGAGGAAACACAGGTAAGTGACCACGATAAACTGATGTATGATTATCTGGGTTGGTCACTTACCTGGTTTAACAGTCCACACCATGAGTGTCCCCAGTGCTGCAGTCCCAGAGGTCATGCTGGAAGCTGATCCTGGTGAGGGATCCAGAACAGACAGGAACAGACAGAAACAGGCAGGATCCAGATCAGACAGGAACAGAGACAGGTGGCAGGATCCAGACTTCCAGGCATGCACAGGCTTCCAGGAGGGTTCAGAGTCTTACTGGGACCATAAGCATGACCAGGTGGTCACGCACAGGAGCAGACAGGATCAGGTGCAGACAGGCAGGCACAGTGGAAGAGGGTAGCCGAGACAGGACGTAGGAACCGGAACTTGAAGCAGACTTTAAACTGGTCTCCACCCTGGAGCCAGGCTTATTTAGATAAAAACTGAACCTCCCCCCATAATGAGCCAAAAACCCAGAGGACGCCGCAGGGGAGGAACAGTGGACGATCAGGAGACGAGACAAACACTAAAACCCTCTTTCCACTGGCAGCTAGGATCCAGGACATGAACCAAATAAAACTGAACAGAAAGACTGACAGAAAGACAAGCAATGATCTGGCCCTGAATGCTCAGGCTGAACTGAATATAAACCAGAGGATACAGGAGAGGGGAATAAATTATAATTGAGGCAGGGAAGGAAGAGGGCAGGTGAGAGGAATAACTAATTAGGGGTGAGCAAACAGGCCAGATCATGACAGAAACATACCGGGGGCACCCTGCTAAACCTGAGCCAACTGGAACAGTTTGCTCATGAGAAGTGGGTCATACAGACTTTTTATTGACCAGGCCTGTTTCAGGAGTTTATTTCTTAAATAACTCTGTTAGAGAATTTTCGAAAAGCAGTGTCTAACTTTTATTTGTTTATTTTTATCAACTTTTTATTTATTATTATTTTTACATATTTAAGTTATTTCTGTCGCCGTTGTGGGTTTTTCTTTGATTACATGAGGGGTACCAATGATTTTGTTCATGTGTTTATATCTAGAATTTTTTTATAATAGAGGTATTAACAATTATTTATAATGTTGAAGGATAAAAACCTTTAAAATGAATATTGTACATATACACATATACATATACGTAGGTACATTTAAATGATTTAAAGTTACACTTTTTATGTAGAAACTATATGAGTTTGTGTTGTCATGTTTTTACAGCTTCACTTGGTCTTTCGAGAAGATCAACCTGAGCATGGTTCAGGTCATCACAGGCCAACTTGTGCAGTCATATGATGAAGAATTTCGGACGCTCTATGCTCGTTCAGTTGTACCACCTGAACTAGAAACCTCACTGGTTGGGCCACACAATAATGGAGTTCAAGGACAAAAAATGTTGCCAAGATATTCTATTCCAAGTACTGACCGGATGGACCGCTTGAGGTATTCCTTAGATGTAGTCAATAACAAAAACTTTGAAAGACAATCTGGCACAAGAGTTTTTAAAGACCGGTACCTTGAAGAGGAGAATAAAACACGTGGGCCCTTGATAAAGGTACCACTGCTCGAACTTGAATCTTTAGATCAGATGAATTTGTTGAAAAGGCACAGTTATGCAGGGGAACGACAAGATGAATGCATCCCAGAGAGCATTAGGCTTAGAGGAATCAACGGGAATAGCTCGAGAAATGGTGGAATTTTATCAAAGAACTACTCAATGGATAATTATATGCAAGTGCAACAGATACACAGAGATCAAAATATGTACCAGTCTTACAGCGGCATTGACAAACAGGTACTCTCAATGCAGCAGAACATGCCAACATTAGAGAACACTTCAAAGTTGTTCCTACGTACATGGAGAATAGACTCTTACCTTAAAAACCCTGATGCCCCCTTTCCAGACACATGTGACTATTTGGACCAGTTAGAAATGGACAACGGGAGCTCCTTCATGCAGGGACATATGCGAAACTCCTTTGCCCTAAGGTGTCCCACCAAAGAACAGATAGAGCCAAGCAGACTCATAAACCCCTCGTGCCTAAGCGATTTCTCAACTACACCCTACACTCCTTTGCACCACAATTCAATGCATTGGAATCCTGATGCAAATGTTGAAAACAGAAATGTCTCCAATGAATTCATTTTAAACAGAAAGAGTCCACAGTTATTAGACAACTATGATAATACAGCACACTATAGCCCAGGTAGAAACATTTATCAATCTACATATTCTAGTTTAAGCAGAAATAAACATGCAAGGATAATTACTAACCCTGATATGCTGGCTAACAGTTGGCATAAGAGGCACAGTGTGGCTGATCCACGGTCAAGCACAGAAAACACATACGAAACCTCAGAACACATGTATGGACGTTTTGTAAAGACTGAAGTAAACTGTAGCACTGTGGAAATCCCTGACCAGCATAGAGGATACAGATCAAATATAAATAAAGATCAGAGATCTCTCTCTCAGTATGACGTTAAGAATATCAACGACAAAAATGGTCCAAGTACAGGTGCTTGGCATGAACTCCCATCCAGGACCGTCTCTACAGCAGCCCTGCACCTTAATAGCAAAAATCTGGGAAATAAATCCAGCAGTATTAATTCCCAGTGCAGTACAAAAAGTAGCTCCAAAAACGTTCAGTCTTTGTCGAACATAACAGAGAGGAAAAATGATTTCTTCAGAACCATAGAGACACCAAGTCTTCATTCAGGTGATAGCTGCGACACCTTAACAGCCGAGGATGGGGCAACAACTAGTGGTGGAGAAAATGCTTCCCAAACTGCAGCCAGTTCTGACAAGTCATCATCAGAAAGTCATCTGAAGACCTCAAAGCCACAATTTGAAACAGAAGAACACCGAGACAAACCAGTGATCTCTGCCTCCAAAGCTGCTACACAGAAGAAACCTTCAATTCCTGGGAAAAACACAAAGCCTGCAACTGAGAGTCGCATGCACAGCAGATTCGAACCTTTCAGCTCTCTTGAAAAGAAACCCTCTTTTTTGAGAGCCTCCAGGCGCAGCCAAGCTCAAGAGAAAACCAGAAGTCTTTCTGGAGGCGAGGCAGCTGTTGAACCCAGTCACACTCAGGCAACTAGAGGACACCAAGAAAACAAGTTAGAGAGGTTTTTTCACAGAGTGGGAAATCTGTTACATAAAAACAAATAGTGAGGTTTAAGTGAGGTATGTAAACTATGTTTGCTACCTATAACTATAGTTTATTAGAGTGGAAATATTTATCTATGTACCAAAGGTGTTATGTGCACTGACTTTGCAGCACCTTCAGTTTTAATTTCTACCTTGTTTATTGCACTCAAGAAGGATCCTGAAACATGGTATGGTTTGTACTGATGTGGATTACAGATGTTTCTTACATAATATAGAAATACCACCTCTAGCTTTTTTGTTCTTTGTTGGTGCCAGACTCTTGCATAAATGAAAATACTTTCAAAATTGTTTACATTACCAGTTACTTGTTTCATAAGTTCACATGTATACTTACTTTTGTTGGCACTGAGGGTGTGTAGGATGAACATACCATTCTGGTTTCTGCATAAGATTTGTCTGCTTTAGCTTTGACAGCTGCTTCAGCTATAGAAATAACAAATACAAATACATAGCATGTACACTGTTTATCATATATCTGCATAAACATTTCTATCTTGTTTTTTATATTTCAGAAGTTTTCACAAATGCTCTTCAGGGTGGAAAGGTGTAAGACAGTATGCAAAGAAAGTACTACTTCAAACAAATTCTTGTTAATTTGCAATTAATTTTATGAAAAAAATTAAGTAGCTGACGTTATTAAAATGACTTTTTCCCTAAAGATTTTAGTAATGGGATTATTATGTTTACAGAATGTTGCACATGTATGTGAAAATAAAATCATCATGTAAGTAGAATACCATATACTGTAGAACACAGTGACCCTGCGAAGTGTCATTGATTTATTCACTTTAAGGCAAGTCTTTGCGTCTCTTATTAGGTTTTAGTACATTGTTACAAATGTTGTTGTTAAACAATTATCTCCAGAGGAAATGTTCATCTAAATCAAATGCACTTTATGGAACGGCTGTGCAGAAATCATTCAATGATTGTTTTACTTTGAGCAACTGCCCCTTTACAATGATCATCATTGCAAAGGGGTAGTTCCTCAAAGTAAAAAATGTCCCATAAATATAGTCTGGGGAATTAACTTGAAAATATTTAACAATTCAATGTATTAAGCTACATTAGAAAATAGTAAACAAGGTAAACAAGCTGTGGAAACAACAGTCTAGAGATCTCCCCCTCCCTGAATGTGAAAGGTATACGACCCTTTTGCACTCTAACAAGAGATGGCAGAACTGGGGGGCGAGAAGCAGGACTACACGAACCCACCGCATTTTCCCGCAGGCCATTCCTGAGTCAAACAGCTCTAAACAGACCAGGGTATGTGTGGACCCCAACCCCGAACCTGACTCCAGGGTGAGGTTCAAGCTCTCCCATACGGGGCAATGTCATGTGCCTCAATATCATATTTTTTAATATGGGCTTTTTGAACTGCTCTCGGTCTGACATGTCAACCGGAGCCTGTTTTCCTTGGGAGACTTTACCAGGGAAATTTAAACCCCTGACAATACAGCCTCTGAGATTATCTGTGCACTGAAACCTCTCCGCCACATTAAGGTTTGTAGTTCAAAGAGGGAACCCTGATCAACTCTTGGAAAGAAATTACTGACACAGTTGGATGACAACGTAGAGGCTGTAGAAATGTAGGAAACAACTTTTTTTTCCCTATTTCTGCTTGTAGTGTGGTCTTGCTAGAATATTCGCTGCTGCAGAATAAACTGCTGCAAAGACTGTGTTGGCAACATGTTGCATCTAAATACATCAAGCACAAAATCAAACGGACACGGCTATAATAGGAATACTGAACATATGCCACTGAAATTTCTTTATATTATGTAGAATAATACAAAAGTTTAGACCCAGCTGTGTTATTTCTTTCAACAAAGAAAAAAACTGTTTAACAAGTAGGTCTACATCAGGTCAGCAGACTCTCTTTATTTTTGGCATCTTAACATCTCTTATACAAGTAGCTTAGAAGAGTTTTGATTGTCATTATAGCTACAGTATACACAGCATATTCACTGCACATTAACTCTAGAATACAAAACATTCAGCTAAGCTGGCGCGTCTCTAAAAAGAGCTTATACATTTATCAAGTGATCCCTGTAGTGACTAATGAAACTTATAATTTGTTTCCATTTTCTTCTTTCTCCGAACCCAATTGGTTCGGAGAAAGAAGAAAAAATTGGAAGAAAGAAAAAATTGGGTGGTTCTCCTATGTTTGCCTCTCCCCTCTACCTTCTTCAGGGAGGAGTAATAAAACAGCAACAAGAAAATATAGAAAACAAACAAGCACAATTTGTTGTTTTATTTTACATTTTATATCAGAAACACATGATTCATTGCCCAATGCAAGATAGCAGGGATGCTCAAGCATGGACTTCTTTAAGCCTATTTTCGGGGGTGCTTCAGTCAAACCCCACCAAACCAATCTTGAAATTCTTTTTTATACACCTACACTATATTAACCTTTTTAACCATTTCATTTTTGAGCAAAACAACTAGCTGTCACAGTGCACTTATAACAGTTCTTCTCATGTATGCTTTTTTTTATTTTTATAAATTACTTGATTTTAAGACACTGGCTTCTCCTGGCTAATTATGCCTTTACTAAAACCCCATATACACTACCCTTTTAAAACTGTCCTGAGAAAGGTCAGAGAATGGTAAGTGAGATAACTGTTGAGTGTAAATGGAACCCAACTGAACTGGACCGTGCCAGAAACAACTGAACCACGCTAAATCTAGTACTAGTTCAACAGTGAGGCTCAGCACAGTTCAGTTGGGGCTCGGTTCTCTAAAAACAAAGAGTGCATGAGAAGGACGCTTCATCTCCTGTTTACAGTCAGCTGACTCATTTTGCAAGTTCTGTGGGATGTCTGGCTTTGCAATTCACAGATCTCTTCACCTGTTCACAACACAAACTTCTCAGCTTATTAACAATAAATGGCATCAAAAGAGTGTGGGGTGTCCTGGGATAATCCGAGAGCGAGGCTCTCATTGAAATTGGAATGGATGCTATTCAGCCACATAAGCGCTATCATAAGGTTTAAACATATCACTAAGTACTTTAAAAAAAAGATAAAGGCCTTCACATAAACTGGACTGGCAAGGCAAAGAGAGTTTTTTTTAAGAAGATCTGAAAAAAGTCATAAAACAACCAAAGAGGAGCTGCAGAGATTTATTTTTCTGTTGGAAGAGTCTTTTGGTAATGCCAGTTTTAATTATTCACTCCACAGATCACATTTTTTTGACCAGTATGCAATATACCGCTTAACCCCAGATTACTCAAAACCTTGTTCACTTGAGGACCCGAGACTTGTAGAAGGAATTTTAAAGTTATTCGTCTTTGTACAAAAAATGCTTTAATTGCAGAAAAAACAACCAACACCTCACATAACTGAATAGGGCAAGTTTTGGGAAACATAACTGAGCAAATAGATGACTCAAGAGTTGGACATTTTTTTTCCCTTTATGTTACTAAACATAAAGTCAAATTGATTTTAAAGTTGTTTACATAAATACATTACATATTAAAATCTTTTAAGATTTGCCGAACTGAATCACAACGCATGTGTGACACAACCTAAATTGTATGTTTCCCTCCAGCCTGACAGTTTCAGCTACTGTTGTGCCGACCAGAAGCAAATATATCTTAGCCACTAGATGTAAATATTTGGGAGAGGCAGACTTGCAGATGTAATTTCTGGCTGGCAAATGTAATTCTAAAAAGTAAAGATCCAGAGGACGTTAATATAGATGCACACTGTTAAAGGAAAGCTCTGTGTTTACACCTTGAAGCCTTCTCTCTCCGGTTCTTTTCCTGAGAAGAGATCACTTGGGTCACACTCTTTAAATAACACTTCATAATGTATATGTACTAAGTAACCATGAGATACGACAACAGTTTTTGACAGAAATTTTAATTTTACTCAGATCAGAGAAGATGTTTAGAGTTACAGAAGGCAGTGCTTACCAACCAGGCTCACATCTCGTGAAGTGGCCTCGAATGAAAATTAAAGAAGCATTTTATACAACTCCAGTTTGCCCCATTATTACATCATACACGTTTGCAGATGAGGAGACCATATCCAACGATATCAAACTATTGAACAGTTTCCCAAATAAATACACAGAGAACTCGCTGTTAAATATGATCCACTCTGTCCATGCCCCAATTTTATGCTCAAATCTCCGTTGTGTACATTATGAAGATGATAGCTGTATATCCAGAAAGAGGAATTTTCCTAATCACATAAAATACTGGGGAAAACATTAGTTCTGTGGCATCATCACAGAACTTCATAACACCTCTTTAAGTATATTTTCTCTTTACTCAATTTGCTCTAAGATAAAGAATTTTACCATAAATTAGAGTTAAACAGGGGTCAAAGTAGGTTGGATTTTTTTCCAGTACTATGGAAGAAAAATAATGTTTTTAAACCCTGATAAACATTCAATCAATTATTATTGAAAGATATTTCAATAATAATAGATTATTCAAGATAAAAGAAGTATTCAAATAAATATTCTTGGCTGACTAACATTTAATGATTAATTTAAAATGAAATGCACAAACATTCTTCATCCTTAAAATATTTTTTCATCCAAATCTGAAATATTTTACAATAAAGGCTCACAAATTATTACCCTTTAATGGAAAAAGTATTCATGTCATTATGACAATGAAACTTCACATGGGTAGCATTTTTTTAGTTATACTCTAGCTGATGCAATACATACAGAAATCTTTGTTGAAAGAAAAAAATGCAAAGATTAGCTAGTGTTTTAATATAAACTGAAGTTTTATGTTTATAACAGTTTCACTCATGACATCCACTTAAATTTCTTTAATCACTCCCAAATGGAGCAGCCTGTAGCTGCTCCATTTGGGAGCAGCTACAGGGTTGTGCATTTGCATTTTTTTTTAAGTGGAGAGGGCGGGTCTTTTGAAAAACTTGCCAAGATCCTCCACAATACCTTTAATTTAAAGATAGATAGACAGAGTCGAAAGTACACTAATGAATTACGTTTGAGTCATATTACCTGTGTATTACACATTTTGGGGTTTAAATCTAAGGGTGTTCAGTGACAAAGGGGCTCTTGTCTCCAACAACAGCCACAATATTTGTCACTAGTTGCTCCAAAGAGGAGACTTTAGCACACATTTTGGCTCCGGAGAGGACACTGTAACACACAATTTTTAGTAGATGGGCCACAAGGGGGAGCAACCTCCTGCCCCCCCCATGCACATCACTGCTGGAGAGAGGTCTTACTGTATTTAGATCCCAGGTGCTTTTGACAAATAAAAAAAGAGCTTTTAGATACAGAAAAAGCATTACATGCAGAAAAAAGCAATGCAAAAAAGATAAAGTTGAACAGAGGGCCCTAAAATGAACATATTGTACAAAGGTTATGATAAATAATGTAAAATTACTAACAGTATGTAATTTCTCAGCTGCAGAATCCTGATAAAAACACACATGTACAAGTCCTCTGTTGATGTTTTGGGAAACCAATTATTCTTTAAAAATTCTTTCATCCATTTTCTGGGAGTGCTGTCCATGCCCAGAGGTTATTAGTCAAGAGGCAGGATCAAGATTCTGCTTCAGAATATTCTATTTATCATACACAGGGATTTTGGCTTGGCTGTCACCTACATTACAAAGACAATTACAAGTGCAAAAAAACATAACACAAGAAAATGAAAG